GCATCTGCAGGATTTATTCCAGTTAATAGAATAAATTACCTAGGTAATCACTGTCACTGGAGATTTTTAAGAGCAGGTTAGACAAACTCCTGTCATCAAGGATAGTCGAGATGATGCTTGGGGTTCTGCCATAAGAGCAGGGAACTGGCTTCATGACTTCAACGTCTCTTCCAGTTCTATTCTTCATTAAGGCCATGATTTGGAAAACTTATAGCCCATTTACAGACTTGAACCATTTTGATTTTTCTAAATGTATTTAAATGTAGCATTCTACCTTCTCCATACTTTACTGCACTTCTCAAAATATGAAGTTTAAAAGTCATACTAATGATTAACTAATAAATTTTTTTATTATAGAAGTTAAGGCTCTTTTTGGTTTAGAAACAGTCACTTTCAATTATCACCTTATTTGCAAATTATGGCATAATCAAGTACAGGCAGTCCCTGACTTACACGGATCCGACTTATGTCGGATCCGCACTTACGAACGGGGCTTTTTTCGCCCCGGAGCCCACGGGCGGCGGGACCGCCCAGAGCGCAGCGGTCCCGCCACCGCGTCCTCCGGGGTGAGAAAAGCTGCTCCGGGTCTCCCTGGTGTGCTGGGGGGGACTCCCCAGCACAGCAGGGAGACCCGAGCAAAGCCGCACAGGCGGCGGGACCCCGCTGCCCATGCGGCTTTGCTCCTTTGCCCCCGGACTCCCCCAGCACAGCAGGGAGACAGGAGCAAAGCTGCAGAGGCAGGGGACCCCGCCACCTGTGCGGCTTTGCTCGGGTCTCCCTGCTGTGCTGGGGAGTCCCCCCCAGCACACCAGGGAGACCCGGAGCAGCTTTTCTCACCCCGGAGGACGCGGTGGCGGGACCGCTGCGCTCTGGGCGGTCCCGCCGCCCGTGGGCTCCGGGGCGAAAAAAGCCCCGTTCGTAAGTGCGGATCCGACATAAGTCGGATCCGTGTAAGTCAGGGACTGCCTGTACTTGATTATGCCATAATTTGCAAATAAGGTGATAATTGAAAGTGACTGTTTCTAAACCAAAAAGAGCCTTAACTTCTATAATAAAAAAATTTATTAGTTAATCATTAGTATGACTTTTAAACTTCATATTTTGAGAAGTGCAGTAAAGTATGGAGAAGGTAGAATGCTACATTTAAATACATTTAGAAAAATCAAAATGGTTCAAGTCTGTAAATGGGCTATAAGTTTTCCAAATCATGGCCTTAATGAAGAATAGAACTGGAAGAGACGTTGAAGTCATGAAGCCAGTTCCCTGCTCTTATGGCAGAACCCCAAGCATCATCTCGACTATCCTTGATGACAGGAGTTTGTCTAACCTGCTCTTAAAAATCTCCAGTGACAGTGATTACCTAGGTAATTTATTCTATTAACTGGAATAAATCCTGCAGATGCATAATGACACTAAAACAAAACACTGTAGCATTAAGCAGAAGCCTTGTTTTAAAAATGCAAATTTTATCTCCATCCAAAATAAATTTTTTACTACATGGAGACTGAACTTTTTTCGAGGCATGATGTAATTATTTTGAGGCTAATGGACTTATGTGCAGATGTAGTGACAAGGAAGTATATAGTTTAAGATACAGCTCGATCACTATGTATAAGAACCAGCATAGAGGTAAGACTTTCCATGCAGTGAGAGAGCACAGTTTCTTCCAGAAAAATCCTAACTGTGAACAGATATTGTACAGTTTTTCTTCCAGGTTTAGTGTTACTTTTGACCCACACAAAATCTAACCCTAAGTACAGAATCGGTCTAATTTCTGGCATTTTGTCAACATTTAAGATTAAAATTTAAGATTAAAAATTATGGTTTGATTTATTTTTAAATTCCTTTGAAGTAGGAATAAGAGCCTCCGGAAAAGGGCACTTTTTCCGGAGGATCGGGGCCAGTCTAGACGCTCTTTTCCGGCTTTTCTAAAAGCCGGAAAAAAGCGGCGGACATTTTTATTTAAATGCCGCGGGGGATATTTAAATCCCCCGTGGATTTCCCTACGACGACTAGTGAAATTTACATGCCCCTTCCGGAAAAGGGGCCAGTGTAGACGTAGCCTATATGTATAGGGTTACTGCTGATTTCATTGCAGAAACTTAAAATACCATGTAGAGAACTATATTTCAGTATAATACTCTATCGCTAAGTATACCCCATGCCATATCCACACTAAAAACTTACCAAGTCAAGGCTGTCAGTTAAGAATATGAAGTGTGATTCCTTAATTGATAACTGTGCCAATAAAGCCTACTCATGCAGATAATAGTCACCCAGGCATAGCTGCACTTCTTCCTGTTATAGATTATTTTGTGTGGTGGGGCTGTAATAAACTGTCCTGGCAAAAGCAGTTTTGCTAGTATAAGCTGCATCCACACTAGGAAACACTGGAAGTACTTCAATACCAAGCAAGAAAGTACCCCACTTCTATTTCCAAAGTAAGAACATCCATGCAGATTTGCAATAAAACAAAAAATATTAAATCAAGCTTAGTTATTTCAGTGTACACCTTTATGTAGAAAAGCCCTTAATGAGGAAGATGAAGGGATCCACAGAGCTCTATCAGTGTTGAAGACTCAGGGTATGTCTACACTGCAGTGTTTTCCCAGGGAAAAAAAAGGCAATTTTTCCAGAAAAACAATACTTATGTCCACAGTGCTATTGTGTTCTTTTGAAAGAGTCAAAAGAACAAACGGGTTTTTCTGACAGCATTAAACCTCTTTCTAGGAGGAAAAAGCTTTTTCCACAAAAGACTTATCGGAAAAAGGCGTGTGTGGACGGGGAAGAGGGTGTTTTTTCAAAAGAAAAGGCCTCTAGGAAATAACACAGGTGCCCTGGCGGTCACTCTGTCCCAACTAATCAGAACTCTATAGTTCCTGTCTCCTGGCAGCTCTTAAAGCTGCAGGCACCTAGGACAAGGCTTGTGTCAGGAAGCCAGGCCTGGGAGCTACACCTTACCACACAGCTCTGACTGCCACCCACATTTGCAGCAATGGCCCAGCCACAAGCCCCCTGGCCCTCACAGGGAACACCACCAGGGCTCCCAGGAGCCAGCCAGGGGCACAAAAAGACGAGCACCCTCCTGGTCCACAACGGAGATCCTGTCCCTCCTCAAGTTCAGGGGAGAGAGGGAGGGAAGAGACCCTGCAGGATATCTCCACTCCCGGCCAAGAAATGCCAACATCTGTGGCCAGATGGCTGAGGCTCTGGCCAAGAGGGGGACACACCCCAGACACTGGAACAGTAAAAGAGCTCTGCCAGGGCTATGCCAAGGCCAGGGAACACAGCTCTTGCTCCGGGGCAGAACCCCACTCCTGCCCCTACTGCTAGAAGCTCCACCAAATACTGGGGGTGGTGAAGCCATTTCCCCACCCGTAGTGGAGGAGTAGGAGCTTGAAACGCCCATCATCACCAGCCCAGAGCTCCCCGCTGAGAAGCAGGAGGAACAGCAGCTGCAGGAGGAGGAAGACATGGCCAGCACAGTCCCCCTCCCCCTGGAGCCGGTACTCCAGGCCCTGGAGATCTCCCAGGCCTCCTGTGATGACGGAGAGGGATCATCAGGTTAGTGCTCTCAGTCTGTCATACACAGAGGGCAAGGGAGGCGGGCACAGAGGGAATGGGGTGCAATCATTGCTCGGCCTGGACATCGTGCTGCAATCCGTGCATGTGGAACCATGTGCAGCGCCAGTCTGCACGACGCAGCCTCAGGAAGCAGACCCAGAGCACCCCTGGGCTCCTGCTCACAAGTTTGGGGAGGCCCCACACACGTGATACCCTGGGGGGGGAAGCCCTCCCACCACCCACCAACACTAGAAGCAGGGTGGTCCCAAGGGCGTGCACACCACCTCACTCAGCCCGAGGAGTACCACACACAGCACATAGGGATGCCTGCCCACGCGAGGCACCACTCGCTCCTGCAGACAGCGCTGCCAGGCGCAAGTGCATGTGTGGGCTCCATGGAAGGCCAGGCTACTCCAGGTGCCTCTCCCACCCATGGAATCCCACTGTGGCCAGACACCTCCCTTGCCTGGCTTGTCTGTGGGATGGTGAGGAAAGCAGGAAGCATGGTCCTCTGGGCACCTTGGAACCCGTGAGGCACAGCCAGCTGTGCAGGCTACACATGGGCTTGGTCCCAGGACCTCCCCGTCTTGTGGCCCAAAGACAGTTGGTCGCAGCTCTCAGAGGAGGGCATGGCCTCAGGGACAGTGTCTGCATGGATGACCGACCGCCTATCCTCCTTTGTTCTCCACAGCCAGACCAGCTGTCGTAGAGGGATGATCAGCGCCAGCCGAGGCAGCCGCCCAACCCCGCGGGAGCCGCAAGTGCATGAGGGTCCAGGAGGACCTCATAAGGAAGCATATGGACGTCCTGTGTGACATGCAGCAAACTCTGGCCAAGAAGATCTGGGAGGACACCGAGAGACAGAACCGCACGCAGAACCAGCTTGCGCAGCAGACTGACAACATGTGTGCCATCATCTGGGGAAACAATGGCACACTCAACTCCTATCCTGTTCCTGCCCCCCACACTCCTTCCCCCCCCG